TGAACATGCCAGCTGTTAGTTTTCACTCTTCTTTTGACTACAGAAAAATAATAGAGCACTTTTTTGTTGCAAAGATCACCAAAAGACTACAACTTACTGATTTCTATTTGAAATCTTTGGGGTTATCTTGTGAATCATGTTTGTAAACCTAACAGTGCTAACATTCTGTGGCACCCCTTAGCACCCTTGAAAGGATCTCAACGTACCCTGGTTGAGAATCACTGTTCTAGATGCAATCTTGAGAGAGTTGTGAAAACCATCTGACTTCATAATGCAAAACAAATACAATTTAATATTTATCTTGTTCTAGGACATGACCTGTTGGTAAAGAAACATTTCAGGTTCAAGTTTCCATGGAGCTATAAACAGCCTTATTTATGTTTTTATTTAATAACAAAAACACTTTTACAACTTGCTCTTTTAATTTCACTATGTGCTGGCACATCACATACTGTATTTAGACTTTCTTTTAAGCTCACATTTGATCTCAAGTTCATGAAATGTACAGGATTTTTTTAAATCATCTTGTTACATGATACAAATGTTCATGACTTAATGAGTCCTGGTCTTGTACTTCAAAAGGACCAGATAATACTGGGGCGGGGAATGAACAATAAGGATTTTAAAACGGGAAGGACATCAATTCTTTGTCTTGCGTGCTAGTTACCACGGCAGTTAATACAGTTTCAGTGCATCTATTCTAACTGTATAGTAATTGCAAAACTTCTGAGAGGGCTCAACATTTTTTTAAATTCTTGAATATTTCACAGAATGATGCTTTAAAAAATCAATTAATATTTTAATAAATTACTTAAAATTTGTGAATATTTGGTTCATATTACCAAAAAGTATCAAGAACTAAAAATCTATTCATAGGAGGGTAGAAAATACAATAAGAGTTTGTCAAAAGACATGTTGTAGGATCAACCACTAAAAATAGGAAATAGGGATCTAGTTGAAATGAACACTGAGATTTAGAATACCCAAGTTCTGATCCTGACATCACCTGTTGCCTCACTTTGAACCAAATCACTTAAACCCATTTAGGCCTCTGTGAGATGAATACTTGTTTGTACATGCCTGAAGGCTTTATAAATTGCTTTTTGTTCCAACTTTTATTTTATAAAATATACCAAATAAAACTATTGAAAGGTAGTCCATTTCAATGGGAAAAATCTCAGTTTAAAAAAAGTCAAAATTTAATATTCCAGCATTGTCTTAATGCTTTCCTTCATACTTAATTTTTCAGTATCAACTCAAGTTTGCTAAGCATTTTGACTTTGACAAAAGAGCATATTCCAATGGAATCAGTTCTACCCAAGTGTCTTCAAACAGTTTTAAAAATAAGAATTATCTGACACATGCAGTTGTTCCGGTATTGAACACTTTGCATTGTACACACAAGTTAAACTGTACTGTCTCTTGGGGTTCTCTACAAACACTGAAAGCACTATAATGGGTCGGAGTGCCAAACCCCCCCTCCCCTTCCCCCCAACCCTGACCCACACCTCGACTTGGCATGCCAGGGGCAGACCACGGGGGAACCATGAGGGCCCCAATCCTTGTTCCTGATGGTGGCTGCACAGACAGTGAAGTAGCGGCCAGGGTTGTGGTGCCCAGCCTTCTTCCCCACACTGTCTCCTGAGGTGCACGTGCAGTTGCAGCTGGCATGGAGCTGGTGTCAGGGCTCCAGAGTCTGTTGCAGCTGTTTGCAGCCTGCCCACTGCAGCTGGCCAGAGCCTATGCCATCTGTGGCAGGCAGCCGGGAAGCTGCAAACAGCTGCACTGAGCTCCGGAGCCCTGGCTTGGCTCTGTGGCAGCAGTGTGTGCACACGCGCCTCTGGGCAGATGGTGGGAAAGGGGCTTGGGGCAGCGCAACCCCAGCCCCTCCCCAGCCACCCGGCCAGAGATACATGTGCAGCCACACTGACAAGGAGCCCAGTGCAGCTGTTTCCAGCTTCCTGGCTGCCTACCACAGCTGGAATGGGCTCTCGGTAGCTGTCGGGAGGCTGCAGGCAGTCGAGAGGCTGCAAATAGCTGCAACTGGATCTGGTGCACTGGCTCCATGGTGGTGGCAGCTACATGCATGCCTCTGGGCAGATGGCAGGGAATGGGCCAGGGTTGTGCTGCCCCAGGCCCCTCCCTCACTGTCCACCTGGAGGCACATGTGCACCTGCTGCTGCCGCAGAGCCTTACAGCTGTTTGTAGCCTCCTGGCTGTCTGACGCATCTGGCCTGGGCTCTGGATAGTTGCTGCCAGCCAGGCAATGTGAGCTGCTTGCAGCAGGGCTTGTAGCCTTCCTGCTGCCTGCTGCAAGCAACCTGGGCTCTGTGGCTGTTGGTAGCTGCCAGAGCCCAGGCTAGGCTGGCTGTGGCGAGTTCCATGCAAAATGGTCTTGCATGCCATGCTCTGGTACACGTGCTGGGGGTTGCCAGCTCCTGCGCTATAAATTAAAACAGGCGCAAACCGAAGAGATATTTGCTGTTCAGTGGAGGGGCTCGAAGCCTGCTCGCGCTGGCCAAGGCAGCAGGCAGGGGGAACTCCTACATGCCTCAGCAATGGCTGGGGGGCAGATGTAGGAGGGAGTGCTTGCAGCTCCTAGCAGCATCTGTCAAGTGACTGGGGCAGGGGTGGGGGAAGGATGCCCCAGATGGCTGGGTAGGGTCTTGGAGGGGGCAGGGGAACAAGCTGGTCCATGTGGCAGGGGGGTTCCCTCCCCCACTCACCACCCCAGCCTCTCGACAGCTGCAGCCAGACCCTTTCCCTTCACTGCCTCCCCCAGCCAGGCTGCAGTGCACCATGGGACTGAGGCAGCTGCAAGGACAGAAACCCCACTTCTCCCCTCCTCCGCCAGGCTGCAGCTGGCAGCTGGCCGGAGGGAGGACGTGGGGCTGGGATCAGGGGCTGTCACGGGTTCGGGTTAGTGACAGTCAAGGGGGTGGGGCAAGCCCAGCACTCCAGCACAGCAAGCAAGCCTAACAAGAAGCACAATGGATGTGGTACAGACGTTCAAAAAAGTGCATTAACAGAAAGCACTTTAGCCTAATAGCACATCCATCAAGGGTTAACTTAGCTTCCTCAGACATTTTAAAGTACTCTAAGAGCCATGAATATCTATTCAGTTATGACTTCAGAGCACTTTCTGGGATTTAATGCACAATAGGAGTAGCATCTGTACCTAGCCTTAAGCATTTTCTGATCCCACTTGTCAACTAATAGAAGTGTAAAGGCAATCTGGAATTCTCTTCTCTGAGCTCAGTCATGTACTTCTACCTGTTTATATCATTCATAACTTAGACTTTATTGAAGAGAAGCCCAGTTCTTAAATGAGCTCATTGCATTGCTTCAGGATTAGTGAGTTTTATATTTATATTTCATAAAACTAAACTATTTAAGATGAAGTCTATAGTGCTCCAGTGCAAGAATGTATTAAGATATATTAAACACAACACATATAGGCAACTCAAACTTCTTGTCTTGATAGCCCTGAAATACTATAATAAAGACATTTATAGCAATGGTTATTTTATTTGTCTAGTTTTTGTCAGTTTGGATGCTGTAAGGAAGCCCACTAACATTTGGATGCAAGGTAGATCATTTTTCTGATACTGTTAGTATGTGACTGGTTAAGAATCATGCCTTTTTCTTTTGGCCATCTAATACCTTGTACAATAACACATAAAATGCTTTTCTGAATTACTGGTTCCAGTATAGGAGGAGGGTACATGAAAAATGCTTGTTTTTCATGGATTTGATTTTAATTCCAGAAATGTCTTGTTCTTACTGGGCTGTGTCCTCTGATGTATTCTCACAGCTGTGGCTTTGATTCACAATGACTCAGTTGGGGCCATGTTTTGATAGCCTTGAATACCACTGATGAGGCATGTAAACTCCCTACCCAAAACTACAGGTGGCCTTAGCATCTCATCATAGACCAAAAAGGGCAAGATGCTGATCCTTTAAAATGTGCAACTGAGAGAACCTGGATGTATACAAGAGGAATGTTTGGTTGAGGTCAACTAGCTTCTTAAGCACAATTGTGGTGGTTTAAGTTCAGTTTTGGAGTGCAGTCTGCGGTTTTCCTTACCTTTTTAAATCTAGGAGGGTGGCCTGCAGGTCACAGCATGGTCCGACTATTTGTGTGTTAGATATAAGGGCAGCTGTAGTCTATTCTATGTTATTTCTTTAGATACAAACATCAGGCTTGTGGCAGAGAGCCAAAGTGGCCTTTATTAAGGTGAATTTAGACTGCCCACGATTCATCATTTACTTAGATTTTCTGCCTCAATTTTTGTTAATATTTGTGAGAAGGGAAATTGAGATCAAAATAATTTTGTTAGCTTGTGCTGGAAGAGATATGGTGTCAGTGTTTGCTTGGATATAATCTGACAAATGGTGCTGTGATACTAAGGCATGGTCTTATCACTACACAGACTAAAAGTGAGCTGAATATACTGCCTTCTGTGGCAATATGTTTGCATTGTGTAAATTGATGGAGAGAAAAATGTATCCTTAGAAACAATTGTATGATTTCATATTGGAGACAGCTTAGGACTTCTGTGCAGTTAGTTGTTTTATATGGACAGCCAAATGGTGCTTAATGATCCCCTAAACCAAACATCTGGTGCATGTGCAAGCCAAATGCAAAAGAATAGACCTAGTTTTGAGTAAAATGTTAAGTGTGTAGTTTTAATATGTATTAGAATATAGCAGAGTTCCTTATGCATACACAGCTGTCTACATAGTTATCTAATACTAGAACATGCTTACTGCTTTATCTGCTGAACGCAATAATCTATCATATGCCCTTTGGTTAATGCCAAGATACTGTTGATGACTTTGTGCTTTGCTGAATAAAGAATTTTGGTTCTGATATTGTATTACATTTAATAGCTCACTGGTTAGTTAACTGCTAACTACAAATTTAATTTTACATTGAATCCAGATGCTACTTGTCTTGGAAATCAGTGATAATTGGGACACGTTATCTGCTTTTTCAGAAAAGGCGACGGCGGATTGACCGAAGCATGATTGGAGAACCAACAAACTTTGTTCATACAGCTCACGTAGGGTCAGGAGATCTATTCAGTGGTATGAATTCGGTAAGTGTGCTAAATTGAAGAGGCTCTGCATATTCATGGACTGCAATCCATACATTTTTATACTAAAACGAAGGCCAAAGTAATTCTAGCTAGCAGTCTGATTCACAACTGTGTTGCTATTGATTTACAGCGGAGTTACATCACTGGAAAGCAATATAGCATTGGTTCAGCTCAAAATATTTACAATCAAAATGTTCAAGATAAAATGAAACTTCAAACAAAACCAATAATGTTTATTGTAATAATAGGTTGTATCTTATGGTGCCAAAAATGTAAGACAGTTGTTGAAGACCAGATACAAAAGATACTTACAACAGGGCTTAGGTACCAAAATCCAAACCAAATTAAAAAAAAAATTCTAACTCAGCAGTAGGTTAGCTACCTAACCCTGGAGGCTGCTAAAACATCCCCAGGTACCTGCCTTTTTTGGCCTGAAGGTCTGTAGGTCTGCTTCTGTGCAGGCCAGGTATGAAAAAAGGCATTAAAGGCACATGCACAATATTTCACATTTTTTGTATCTCCTTAGGTTATTGTTCTTTCACGTAAATGTTAGTCGTCCTGTTTTCTAATTCTCCTAGCCTACCTGAAACCATAATCCCATTTGTGTTGTTCATTGTTCCTGCAGCACTTATGATGTCCGAAGCAGCAGCTTGTGGCTTCCTGTGGGGGTATAAGCACAGTGTCTAAGTACTATTTCTATGCAAGTACCTTTGACAGCAAAGAGCAAAGCACTAGAAAACACATTTAAAATTGTCATACAGAGGCAGATTTTTTTTGTATTTGTTAATGAAATATTAACTGGCCATAAAGGTCCAATTTACTTTGTTAATATTCTAATGAAAGGCAAGGATGAGGTACTGAAATTCTTTGCATGTTTCAAATGGTACACTTGAGGGTGCAATTGAGTGCAATGAGTGTAAGGCGTATGTTTAAGTGTAAGGAGGTAAGCAGGGCTATAGGAGCGCAGGGCAGAGATGTAGGAGCCACTCTGTCAGTCATTTGGGAAGCAAGTGACAACAATTGGCTCTCCTTCCTGGAAGCTGCTCTTGTTTGTCTTCTCAGCTGTAAGAAAGGCACTTTCCATTGCTCGATAGCATTTGGAGAAAGAACAACAAAAAGAAGATATGACATAGCAGAACCACCAGGGTTTCTGGCCACAACACACTTACAGCTGACAGAAATACGGTTCTTATTAGAAAATAATTTCTCTTTATAATTTTTTTGAAATATTAATTTAAAAGCCTCTGACTGATGGTTTGTGGCTACCCTTTCTTGGCGGAATCTTTTTTCACTTTGTAGTAGGTGACAGTTGCAGAGTAACCTGGGTTTCCTTCTGATGACAGTTTGCACTATATAATCTGCTTTGGTTAGTCTGTAAGGTACAAATATACCATTCCTTCTACATTCCTTTCTCTGCCATTTTCAACACTCAGTCCTGTTTCTTCTCACTCTGCTTTCACCTTTTGAATCCTAGACAATCCAGCCCTCTTCTCTCTCTCCAGGTATCCACTACCTGCTACCTTCTGCTACTGATTGGTTGTCCCTTTCCTCTCTATGCTGCCTCACATTGACTGATTCCTCATTGACTCCATTGATTGACTCCTCCACATCACCAGTGGCTCCAGTTCCTTCATCCTCTCATCTTCTGATCTAATGCACTCAGGCTTTCCTCACTTTTACTGTCTTTTCCTTCATTCTTTATGGAATGTAGGCTTATGACTCCACCCTGCAGATTTTTCCTCTTGCTGAGTCGCTCACTACTTTATAATATAATAGTCAACCCATTAACTTTGGACTTCTTGCTTACCCCTCAGTGCAAATTTAAGATTGCAGGCCCCCATCTCCACCCTCTCTTTCTTACTTTACTTTTGTTATGCTGCCTGTTTCTTGTAAATGTCTCTTGTCTGCTGTTGATTTTGCTGTTGAACATTTGGGGGGGTGCTTTTTATGACCTTATTGGCTTCCTTTCCTTGCTTCATTCAGTTCTGGGGTTTTTTTCCCTAACTAATGCTTCTGTTCTTCCCTTATACTTTGATGTATGGGAGTGTATGTCAGCTTGTTGCCTGCTCAGATTTACTGCTATAATGCTCCCTTCCTCTTCATTTTTGTTAGAAGAAAAAATAACCAATAGGAGCCCTCATGCCCTGTTTCCTTCTCATTCCACATTACTTTCCTCCTTTTATTCTGCCCTTTTACCTGTCTAGCTGTGAGATATCTTTAGCTTTTACTGTTTCAAACACTTTAGTTCATCCTTCATCATCTCCAGTCTAGCTTTCCTTACTCTTTTGGACTACTTCCCTTTGCCTTAAAGCTGCTCAAAATACTACTTCAGCTCCTCCAACCACTACCTTATATAGATGTGTCTTGCAAACCAGTTAGTCTCTATGGTACCACTCTGCCTTCTACCTGACCTTAGGGCTAACTACTTCTCATCTCTTACAGCACACTCCCTATAATCAGCAATTCCACATCCTTACATATGTGTACTTGAATCACTTCACTAGTTCCTTGCCTTTTGCCACACGTACATCAGACCTCACCTGCATCTTAGCTCTTATTTCCAACTAATCCCTTTCGCTGTTCTTACCTTATCTTGTTATCCCTCTGTGTATTATTCCCACTCATGGCTCTGACTCTCTGCCCTTTACGCCTTAGTCAAGTGCCACTTACCCACACACCCTACAAATGCTTCCTCAGAGCTCACTTCTCTGAGTAGTCTTTCCCATTTTCCCCCTACCTCTATACATGTGTATTTACTCCTTATTCTAAAATAGTGTGCAACAGAACAGTTTATTAGACCTTAGTGTGCAAGAATCCTCTTCCCTTGTCCATTTCCTGGGATAAGTCTCGCAGCTGGAACCTTTGCCCTACGGATACAACACCATAGGGATGGGTGATGCTCTTCAGGACTCAGAAGGACGATGCTTTCAGGATGAGTAGTACCTTTCAGCGCAATGCTTCAATAGTCCTGAATTTCAGTCTGTTTGAGATGCTCCAATTTAGCTTTTTAGATAACTAAAGCTGCTTTAGTATTTTAATTGCTAAGTAACCATCCCTATTTTCTATATCAGCTAAATATAATACTTATACCCAAGATCCAAATACTGAGATTCTTGTTAGATCCCTTATATAATAAAAACAACACTTTGGGGGTGGTTGGTTTTGAAAATATCCTCTTGGCTGGTGATTTGCATGCTGTTTTTTTTTTTATTTAAATATCAGTTTTACAAGGCCACTAGCATGGACTACACAGAAAAAAGCTATATCAAAGGTGTGTTTTGATACCAAACTCAGGCAAGGTTCATATCTTCAAAAAGCGTCTGGACACTCACCTTGCTGGGGTCATCTGACCCCCACAATCTTTCCGGCCCAAGTGCAGGGGGACTGGACCTGATGATCTCAAGAGGTCCATTCCAACCCCTAACATCTATGAATCTGTGAATCCGAAACAAAATGAGTGCTACTCCTAACTTGTCACGTAGCCACACCCGTCCGAAAGTCAAAAGTTTTATTAAGTGAAATAATGCTATCAAACCCTCTTGTCAAGATAAGATGCAGTGAGGGTTAACAAAGTTGTTTAATAAAAATGTAAAATTGAGCCACTCGTTTCTTTGGATGAATTTTGAAAATGGCCACCACATTTCTTAATATGTTAATTTTGGTCTAGATACCCTAGTATCAGAACCATGCTATATAAGCATTTCTTTAAACATGGTGGTTACCAGCAGAATTCCAGCAGTCTGAAAAGATTATGTTTACACCTGGGAAGAGTCATGCTGGTATACAGTTCTCTGCTCTGGAGTTGCCTTTTGGAAAATGCTGTGTGTGGACTAAAAGTGCTATGGCTAGGTCTTATCTGAAGAGTTTGTGCTCCAGTATGGTTTTAATACATTTCTCTACTGGCTTTTTTGAAGTGTGTGGAAGGGAACACCTGAAATGGTTGTAGGTAGATAATTGTAGATGGGGTCTTATTGCTCTGAGTCTAGTTTCAAATGATGGAGACAAATGCATATGTGGTTCCCTTTCCATCTGGGATGTACACAAAGAATAAAGAGCTTTTCTTTTAGCCCTTCTTAACATTGCCATTATCTGCCCTAAAGCACTAAGTGATATGATTATTTTGATTCATATTGCATGAGCACAAAGAGAACTTTAGTCTTACTAACTTTTTATGGATAAAGGCTACGAAGCCTTTTTTTTCCCTCCTTCACGTATTTATTTATTTCAGCCTAAAAATACCCTCAAATAAATCCTTTCCAGAGGAGTTCTGTTGAAGTCCCACTTAAATAAATCCCCTGTTGATTGAAAGGAATAGGATCAGTTGAAGAAAAAATAAATCTGTGCTCCAGACTACCATTACTGGAAAGAATACTCCCAAAATCTGAAGGGTCTTTAGCAGTTTAGGAAGCCCTGTATATTCAAATGCCTTGCAGCTGTTGGCTCGACTTATAAAACTGTACCACAACACAGATACTGTGCATTAAAAAATATCAAGGTCCCGTTTTAGTAGAGCAGTGTTGTTAATTTCACCATTATCATTTTTGCGCAGCAGTGAACACCTCCCTAATACTAAACTAAAGCCAGATTTATAGCTTTTTAATAATGAAGAAAAATTTGCTAGCAGTAAGAGGCTTTGATTAGTCTCAAGAAAACTAAGCATGTTGCTGCTCGGAGAAAGACTGAATCAGCCAGTTTCCTTTGCAGGAGAGGGAGAAATTACACATCAATCAGCGCCAGTTCTTCTTTCATCTTTTCTGCTGAGCTGCGTGTTGAAGTCCAATATGTAAAAATTCCAGCAAAACTACTTGAGGAAATATCCTCATGTAAAGCACAGTGCATCTGTAATAGGGAGATGACACTTTAAAACACTAATTTACATTTGAGTTGTCTTATTTTTCCCTATTTCATTTCCCTTTCTGTTTCACTTATAGGTGAGCTCAATTCAGAACCAAATGCAGTCCAAGGGAGGCTACGGAGGTGGCATGTCTGCAAATGTTCAAATGCAGCTTGTAGATACAAAAGCAGGATAACCTTGGGGGAACATTTCCAGTAAGTATTGTTCTGTGGTACCTCAAGCCATTTTGTCTCTGGTAGAGAATAGTGAAGCAGAACATCCTGCCTTGGACCATTATCAATGACTTTTATATAATTGTACCCTTCTGATTCATTATTTTAAATTATTTCATTGTTTTCTGGGCAGGGAGTCCATAAAAGGAGGATGTTTATATAACCATGTACTTGGTATTAGGTAGTGAACAGTGATTAATAATTCAGGACAAATGGCAGAAATGTTTCCTTAAATCGTGCAGTTGGGATTCTTTGTATTCTAGATATTGTCTTAGAAGGTGATGTTATTTGCCCACTAAATTGAGTATAGCAGAGTGTATAATTTAATGCATTTAAGAGAAATGGTGCAATTCTGCGGTCTATGTAAGGAAATGCAGCTGTTAATAGAACACATGTAACATAGCAGGATTAGAAAGCTTCCCCCTCCCCCCGCAACATTGCCTGTTTTTAACTTCTTTTCTGTTTGTTTCACAGGTTCTTGTGAATTCCTGTATCTTCTTTCCTGTGTCCCCTTTATTGCTTTGGTGACTGCTTTCTGTGTTCATGATGAGAGAGAAGTGGTGGTTCGTTGTTCAACCCTTGTGATTACTCCAGTGAAAAGTTGCTGTTCTGCTCTGATGATGCCATTTATCAGACTGGTCCGACCGTGCCTTTTAGTGGCATGCACTCATTTTGGCCTCTACCAAAACCATGGACATGTAGCTCTTTAGGGCATTGGGATTTCTTTAGTTCTTTTCAATTTTAAACAAATTAAAGCTCCACTTTTAGATTTCCTTTTCCCCCTGCAAGCGTTAGTGTACAGGATTCTCATGCTTTTTTTTTTTTTTTTTTTTTAAATATCCTCCAGTCCTGTCACTAGAAATGAGCAAGTTCCTAATTAATATTTTTAATCCATCATTGTTTTTATGTGTTTTTGAAAGGTCTGGGACCTGCAAGCACAATGATCGTTGCATACATTCGAAAATCAGCAGAGTAGATGACCGCATGCTTTGTGAAATTGCTTTGTATGGTGGCCTGTTTGGTGCCAGAAAAAAACTGCTTGTAATTGCGGACTGATGATACTAATGCTGATTAAAAGTTTAGCTGTGGCACCAAGTCATACCAGTCTCTGAGAAAGGACTTGTAACCTAGCTGCTTTATGATGTCTTTTTAGTTTTTATGCAATGGGTCTTGAAATAATAAAGAGAACGCTTGCATTCATAAGGCATTTTGTTGTAAATGTTCAGTATATTTATTTTGAAAGAGCTGACCTCGAGGCTGTAAACCAGTGTAGTACCGTATCTGAGTGTTGTGGTAGCGCTTTTGTCTGTTTAAAAAAAAAAAAATCATCATGTTTGGCTGCTTTTTCTTTTCTCTAATTTTGCTTAATTTTAGGCTATATGATCACTTCCAGTAGCAGCATGTCAGACTGCCTGCAATATTAGCTGAAGTTTAGTAGACCTCTAAGTAGTTGGCAGTTTCTGTGTACTAAATATTTAGGGGCCATGTAAGTTGCTAAGAGCAACATTACTAATCTGGCAGAACAGATGCCAGTGAAAACAACATACAGGGTGACTTTTTACTGTCAGTAAAAAGCCTTTTGCTCAGGTTCCAAAGCATGTTTCTTTCACACGTTGTGAAAATTGTATTTTAATATTGCACTGTTTTCAGATATTTCTGTAAATGGTCCTTTCCCCCTCCCCCCCCCTTTTCCTTGCTGGTGATATGAAACATAAGTCAAAAGTTTGAATCCTAGCTGAGTTTTTAAAACATTTATGTAAAAAAAAAAAAAAAAAAAAAAGACTTCATACTACATTTAACATCTTAACTAGTAAATGGGGCATAACTGAGCCTAATCAGATAAAAATTTATAATTATATAAAAACTAAATGTGAGACTCCTGCAGGTTATTGTTCTCTTTCTTTTTTGTCCCTTTACAATTTCTGCCTCAGTTTTGGCAATAACAGCCATCAGATTGATTTGAGCATATACGCATACAGATATTTGCTTTTTCCCTGGTAATATCCAAAGTAAAAAAAAAATCATATGAAATATAATGAACGTTGAGGCAATTGAATCCCTTTATTTTATTTTATTTTATTTTTATTTTTATTTTGAGCAATGAAATTGTAACCCAAGTATAGAATATCTGAGTAGTTCCAGTAAACTTGGATAGTCTTTGGAGGAACTGATACATGATAACACAGGTCTGAGTTGTTCAGCTGTCTATGGGGCATAAACACATGGCAAAAATGGTTAATTGGTGTCAGCATTCCAAATGCATCTCTATTAATGAGCCTTTATCTGTCCTATGGTTACAAAATGATTTTCACGGTTTTTTTGCGGCTTAATTTTAGTGAACAAGTTTTATCTTGCCTTTGTCAAAATGTCTTCAGCTCAGTAGCCAGAAAAAAAATCAACATATTTTTATAAAAAAAAAAAACATACTTTTTTTGTACATTGTGTTCATTCTTGAATAAAGTCAGTTCAGTGTTGGCTTGTAGATATTAAAAGGAAAGTATTGACTTTGATTCAATAAATGTTTTCTTTCAGTTGCTGGTTTACCTTTTTCTTTTTAAATGAGCAATATTTGTATTGGAAAAATACTTATGGTCTATAAATATATGGTCTGTACACATTTGTGGTTAAGATTATCTCATTTTACTGTAAAGAAGAGGTCAGTACTGTACAGGCTTTCATTTTTCTGATTTCTTGTGCCATGTCACCCTTTTGTTGCCCAAAACGTTGTTCCAGTCATCGGAACATCTAACAGAATCAGTTTGCAAACACTGTGCTACAAAAATGGCTCTTTCCTTCCAGGCAGCAATTCATAACTTTTCAGTTCCCCTTTGGCTTTGTTGCTCTGTCACTTGCTTTTGGGTGCTCAACAGGTGTAGATTATTCTCTTTCTGGGCTTTCCCAGTTTTTCTGCTGCAGTGACTAAAACTATCTTCGAGCTGGCATGTTTTGAAGGTAAGAAATGACCTCGGCCTCTGGAGGAATTCTTTAGAACACCCCAGCTCTCCCCATGAGAGAGTGGCGCTATTGTGTTTGATACCAAAAGCAAGCAACTCTCAACTCCTTCCCCTTGCAGATTTGGGGCAACTGTCAATAACTCTCTTTAAAGCAGATTGTTGCAACTGATACTTTTGTTCTTCTTCTGGCATGTCCTAATGGGCTGTCTTGACCCTGGGCTAGCGGCCCTCCAGAACAAAGACTAAAAGGGGAGAACTGCAATTCACAAAGATAATCTGAGGGATGGTCCAGACCTTACTGTTTAAAGTGTTTATTTTCCTGATTTTTAATGATGACCCCAGGTGGAAAGCAAATCTGGGATTTACACATAAGCACATTCTTTAGCCTATTTTTTTTTTAATATTTGTGCATGTGTCTAGTTGTCAGCTTAATGGAATTTGTGGACAGTTCCAAATTAAAACTCCTGACAAAGTACCATTATAAGAATTATGTATTCACTTTATTTCTGTAGTTCTGGACACCACTCTGCCATGACTGTGCAGCTGACAAAGCAGGGATTTTCATTCATTCCCCTAGTCTTTGGTTTTCCAATATCTTACAACGTATTAAAATTGACTTAGCTTCTTTTCTGAGAGCACTTTCGTTTTTGAAGTGCTATAGAGAAATGCCAACCATGAAACTGTTCAAGCAATTCAGATGGGTTGCAGCCTATGGAAGAAGCTATCTGAAAGAAGCCGGCAGAATGACTGTAAGGTACCAAAAATCTGCAGCCAACGTTCAGCTTGGCTCCTGAAGAAATGGACGTGCTTAGCTATTTAAACTTGTATATCAAACTGCAGCAATTCAAGTAACTTTATCATGTTTATACAAGTGAGTTATAGTTCGCTATTGCAAAAAGGCATTGATTAGAAAATAGGAGGTTTGGGAGACTTCTACAGCCTCCAATGCCATAGAATTCTAAGATCTAAAGAACCAGGTTCAAAAGCGCAGAATAAATTCCTGGTTCCACTGACTTCAGAGGCGAGATGTAACCTATTCTGTAGCTTTTTAGCCAAGTGTTAATGAGATGCCAAGCATGATACCATAGATAAGCACTTGGTTAATATTGTCCCTAGAGGAAGCTTACACATGCAGAAAAAATAGAAAACTTAAATTTCCATCTGAAAGCTGTTTGCTCTAAACTAAAAACCTATGATGCTTCAGACATTCCTATTGACAGGACTTGTAGTGGAAGCATCTATACTTATGGAATCCAGGGCCAGACGCTTCTCGGGGGAGGAAAGTAGCAAATTTTCAAAAGTGGTATCAAAGACTGGGTTAATCCATAAAACAGAAAAGTACTTCCACAGGGAAAGGAAACCAAGGAACATGTGGTAAGGAGAGAGTGATAGAGGAGACCTATCTCTTCCTTTTTCCCTGACCCTGCAGGATGTGGAATTAAATCAAAACACAAACCTCATATCATGGTTTGCACCAAGCAATTTGTAACAACGCCACCTTTTACAGAAACTGGGTACATCTACATGTGCACTTTACTGTGGAGTTGACTAATTAGCTCAGCAGTAAAGCATCACCATCTACACATGTGCCAGTATTAGGGCGCAGTAAATTAACTGACTTAGCCATAAAATAGTACTATTGGGGACAGTACAATCTTACAGCAGAGTCATTTACTGTGCTGAAACGCACATGTAGACGGTGACTGGAGTTGGCTGGGGCACAAAGTTGCTAAAGTGCAGGGCTGCCTCCGGCACAGTTAAGTCTGGGTTAAGTCGCACCTATTTGTCATTTTGCATGCTCATTTTTTAACTCAAGCTTTAAAGTTAGAGAGCAAAAAAGGAACAAAGGCACCAGAGCAACTAGTCTGCCTTTCAGAAGCAACAAGTACAGACAACTCTTACAGAAGTGAACATAAGCAGGCAATGCCCAGCATCTTTAAAAATCAAGCCACGTAACCACATGCAGACACTGGGTTGAGTTAAGGCACCGAGGTTGAAAATATTGGTCTGGTTTAATTAATAAATGTCCGAAGAAGAGAGTGCACGTGTGCATGGCTTTTTTATTGCCTTAACAGTTGAATGCGTTTATCTTGAGGCAATTTAAGTATATACATTAATGTTAATCTCTTTAAACTGAAATGGATTATACAGAGAAGGAGAAGCGAATGTAGTAAAATGTATTTGAAGGGACTGATACAAAAATACCTTTTGAAGGGTTGTTTTCTAATAAAGGTGGAACAGAGCTTACTTGGTATGGCCCTGATCAGATCCCACAGAAGTAAATAGGAATTAACTCCCACTAACATTAAACCATTAACTTTAATGGGAACAGGATCTGAGCTCTCTTCAGAGCAATACTTCAGGGAAATCTCTTAAACCTGAAAGAAACTACTCTCATTAGAAAAATATATGACAGAGATTTGCCTATTTAGCCCTGATCAGTAGAGATTGCTTACAGTGCTCCCAACAATATACATATTTCAAACTATTTGAAACTACAAACTACATTCCACTCAATTCAGTCCCTCACTTCTTTGTGTTTAATTCCTGAAATCAAATAGTTTATATTAAACCAAATACAACTTCCATGCCAAAGGAATCTGATAGATTGTCAGAGGATGATGTTCACTGGCTATGGAAGTTTGCTGTACAGTTAACAAAGGAAAATGATCAGTTCTGAATGAGAGAAGAAGAAAAGCTCAAGTAAAAGCACATAAGATAACAGAATAAAAGACACGTTTTTCATAGACAATAGTGGTACAAACCTCTCACAGCTGTGATGGTGTCCCCCCATCAAGCCTATCACAGACTAACTATATATCTTGGTCAGATTAACAGGAGGAGATATGACTGAAGTGATAGGAAGGTTTTGGGTTAGAAAGAGATTCATAAAACTCAGTAATAAGTATCACTATGGAATAAGTTACTAAAAAACACAACAACAAAGATCACTAAAACACCCAAAAGAATCAGTGCCTCATGCTGGCTTTGAAAAAAAAAGGATTTTAAGCACTATTGAACTTAAACAATTAAAAATTACTTGTATTTGGTCTCTTACAAGCCAGTGCAGATTCAATTAGTCCTTAAGACTGTTTAGCTGACTAACGCACTCTATTATAAACATAGTTAAAGAAGCCAATGGTCAGATTAGCCCTTTCCATTTTTTAATATGTGAAAGGGTTGCATTTTAGTTCAACAGTCTCTTCTCAAAAATTGAAGTCAGAGCTGCAGCTGTGAGAACTACTTAAAACTACTCTAATTTCATTAAATAAAAAGCTTTTCAAAAACCAGTTATGGTTGCTAAGTGACAGTATACTTAACAATCATGTAATTTACAAAACCCAGGCACTCAAAGCAAAAAAATGAATTATTAAAGAAATCCATAAATCTTAACTCTGCTTGCCTACCTACTGCTACATTAATCTTTCCCAGTACAAAGTACAAATTTCAGCACAACACATTTTAATGTCTTGATTCCAGCCAGGGTCTAGATATTTTATTTTAAAGGATATAGATAAATGGGAAACTGAATATATTCATCAAGAAATTAAATTCAAAAGAAATTCCAATTGCTGTTTCTTGATAAATATTTAGTAAAAATTATGTGAATTTTATTTTTGTTATATTTGCTTATGATCTTGGGTTGAGGTACATCAATGTGTTTCATACAATTTATGCAATGTGTTAAAAACTAGGCCTGTACAAAGCAGCTAGTATTTGCTTTGGATTTAGATTCAGCTGATTGATTTGGGGGACAGTGATTTGTTTCGGTGATTCGAATCACTGTCCCGAATCGATTCGGCCAAATCTGATTCGGCAATTCAGCCACTGCTGAATCGGCCAAATCTGATTTGGCAATTCAGCCACTGCTGAATTGGCCGAATCTCTGAATCAAATAGGCCCCATCCCCTGCCCGCTCTCCTAGCCATCAATAGCTGCCCCGCCTTGTCCCAGTGTCCTGTTCTTAAAAAAACCCTGACCTCACTGGCTGCTGCCAGGTGGGGGGACGATTCTCGCTGCCTCATGCTATGTTGGGGGAGCTCTGCCACAAGCCCCCAGAAGTCCCGACGGCCGCTGCAGCAGCCGGTGAGTACGGGGCTTTTTTTTTTTTTTTTAAAGCGCCAGGATGCTGGGGCCAGGTGGGGCAGCCATTAACTGGGCTGGGGGAGTAGGCGGGGGATAGGGCCTGGCGGGGGTCCCCCCATGGTCCCCTTCCCAATCCTCCAGCCGCCCCTTTCCCCCGCCCCCTACTTACCGGCATGGAGTCCGGGTCCAGCTCCCTGTGGCAGCAAGCAGGGACTGCCCCAATCTCCAAAGCTCTCCGAATCTTTTCTGAATTGATCCAGACCTTTTTATCGGTCTCCCGATTCGATTTGGAGATTCGGCTGCCAAATCAGACTGAATCTCCTCCAAATTGAATCAGGACCCGAAGCTTCGTACAGCCCTATTAAAAACCCATGAATTGGACTCCCTTCAAAAAGAGAGGTTAACATTTTTTTTTTTTTTGAACTAAAATGGGGGTGGGAGGGGGAGGCAGAGGGAGAGTTTCCCTCTGGTCTGGTCCAAACATTTTTAAGAAAAGGCTGATAGCCT